ATAATAATAAATAAAAAGTTGGATATTGGACAGCAACTTGGAAAGGAGAAATTATAAAAGATGTAGGTGGAATTTACAATCAATTTGGGAAAAAAGAAGGTTTATGGAAGAATTTGATAAGAAATTATTGGAGGTAATATTTAAGATTAATTATATAGTATAGCTTAAGTATATGAAGTAGGACAATATTAGATGGGTTTAAAATAGGGAAATTGGAAATTCATATATAAAGATCAAGAAATGTTTTATATTATATTTTATTATGACTAGTGGATGTGGAGAATACAGTAAATAAGGTGAAAAAACTGGAAAATGGCTTGAATTGAGTGATATGTTTTGTGATCATTCTAAAGTAACATAGATGGGTGAATATAATTAAGGGAAAAAAGTTGGTAGATGGGATATTTTATTTAATTATTAAGGGAACAATAGCAAGATGTAACTAATGTTATTTATTTTTAATAAAATACAATATTACAATTTAGTGGAGGGGGAGAGTATGATTAAACAGGATAAGGACTTAAAATTGGGTAATGGATAGATATTAGTGATGGATTTTTTGAAGATTCTTAAGTAACATATAATGGTCAGTATAAAAATGGCAAAAAAGTTGGGAAATGGGATATTTTATTTAATTGGAATGGAAAGAATAAGATGTATTAATATTTATTTATTTAAATCTATTCTAAACTGTAGTGGTGGTGGATTTTATGATTTAGAAGGCGAAGGACTCAAAACTGGGTGTTGGGTTGATATTTATGATCAATATCAGCAAAATCGTAGTATAACTTATATTGGCGAATATAAAAATAGCAAAAAAGTTGGGAAATGGAATATTTGGTATAACTATTTAGGGAAAAATAATAATATGTACATATTTTATTCGTTAGTTTACTAAAAAATACTAAAACTTAGAGGTGGAGGTTTATATGATGAAAAAGGTTTGGAACTTAAAATTGGATAATGGCTTGAATTGAGTGATGGATTTTGTGATTATTCCTAAGTTACTTATTAGGGTGAATATGAAAATGGTTAAAAAGTTGGGAAATGGGATATTTGGTTTAACGAAGAAGGGGAGAAATATAAGATGTAAAAGTTTTCTTAATAATAATACAATAATTAAACTAGCGGTTGCGGTTTTTACGACAAAGGAGGTTAAGGTCTTAAGACTGGTTAATGGATTGATATTCATGATCAATATTTACAAAGTCGTCATATAACTTATTGTGGTGAATATAGGAATGGCAAAAAATTTGGTAGATGGAATATTATGTATGACAAAAATGAGATGTAATTATATTTATTTATTCAAAAATCTTTTTACACTTTAGTGGAGGTGGATAATATGATGAAGCTGGTGAAGGACTTAAAATTGGGAAATGGATTGATATTAGTGGCGGATTTTATGAAGATTCTTAAGTAACTTATAATGGTGAATATAAAAATGGTTAAAAAGTTGGGAAATGGGATATTTGGTATTAAAAGGACAGAAAAAATATAAGGATGTAATTTGTTTATTAATACTAAAATTTAGTGGAGGTGGTTCATATGATGAAGAAGATCAAGGAATTAAAATAGGGGAATGGATTGAGATTAGTGAAGGATTTGATTGTTATTATGAAGTTACATATAAAGGCTCCTATTAAAATGGTACTAAGGTTGGTACCTGGATTGAAATTTTTTAAGGATTTAACACAATTAAAGAAATTTAATATGATAATTGAGTATAATATAATATCATTTTCTATTAAATCTATTTGTCAACTAAGATTGCTAATATCAAAAATTATATAATGTTTTATTAAGGATAGCTAAAAATAATCTAATAGTGAATAGATTTGATGATTTTTTGGTACTAAAAAATTTCATCGTAATTTCGACTTGGAAAGTTCGAGAGGGCTTTGAATTATATTCTTATATGTTAGTATATAAGGTATTAAATTAAAAAAATAAACCATTCTCAAAGGAAGAATCAGAATATTGAAATGGATAGAATAAACTTAGTCTAAAATATAAGTATATTCAAATTAATAAAGTCTACCTGTTAATTCTTCATAACATATGCATTTAGTAATTTCTGACTATTAAATTTTGAATAGTTAACTAAAACTTAAACCTTCTCTTATTTCAAAATATATCAAGAAACTTTATAAAATCTAATCTATTATTCTTTTGATATTATCACTTAATTTATAGAAGTCTTATTTAATTTTTTGTTAAGCAGAATAGAAGAATGTTATTTAAATACTAAACTCCTTTAATTTCAATGAATTTAATAGTTAAATTATTCAGAGAAAAATAGATTTAATTAATATAATCAATCATACATAGAAAAGCACTAATAGAAATTTTGGAAGTCTTAATTAAATGAAGTCGCAAATGAAAATACTTATAACGAGAATTTGATAGAAGCTGAGGTTATAATAGAATTTTTCGTTTAATCTCTGGAACAAAATCTGCTAGTAAGCATAAAGCGCGGAAATATAAATTGTATCATTTTTTGTAAGCCCCTAGAATGTTTTGTTGGATTTTAAATATAATTGCGATCATCTTAAGTAGAAAAGTGATACCATTTTATTAATTATTCTAAAAATATCCCACATACATTAAGAATTCTAAAGTTCTATAAAGGGGAATGTG